GCATGATATCAGCATCTCTCGGGAGAGTGGCTGGCGGCCACTAGACCCCGCGCGGGTTGGGGAGTTGGTCGCCGACTTCAAGGCCGGCAGCTACGGCCAGAACACTCTGGCTGCTCCGTCCCTCATCGACGCCTGCACATGCCTCTGCGACGGCAAGCGCCGGTTGGACAACGGCGTCCAGTGCGTGGCGGCCCTGCAGATACTCAGCAGAGAGATCGAGGAGAGCAAGGCCAACGGGGAGGATCTTCCAGACTTTTGCCTGCGTCATAGCTTGTCGTGCAGTGGCTGAAGCCATGGACGCTGCTTGTTCTGCCGTCTCATGCCTCTGTCTGGACGTATAGATAAGGAGTGGGCAACGGGAAGGCTCCTCGACGCCCTGGACGCAGGCAGAGTTGCTTTGTAGGCGTACGCAAGAACGGATACTACTAATCGGTTTCCGCAGTCCGATCCCTTGAGTGGTTCTAGTTGTTCGCCTTTGGTCGGAATGACGTTTTTCAGCCAGGAGTCAGATTCGATGTCGTCAGTTACAACCCGGACGGGGGACCCGTGGACTCGGACCTTGTGATCGCCTGGCAGGCGTTATGCCATGACCAAGACTCCAACCGCTACAAACCAACGTCCATCGAGACCAAGGTAGCCGTCGTCATGGCCACCAAGAGCAAGGTTCCAGGGGGGGACTGGAGCGCCGTCGCGAAGGACACTCTCCCCTCGAGTACTCCTTGTCCTCTAGACAGCAAAATTCAACAATACCAGTCAAAGCCACTAGCCCTACTTCATTCACGTAGTGCCGCAGGACCTGGTTGCCCTCTACGGTCCAGGGAAGCGGCAGACAGTGGCGAGATGGATCAACATGGCGAAGGCCCCGTTCTCGAGCGACGATGCCATCATGGGTTTCCTGCGCGAGAAGCCCTATTGGCCTCATGGGTATGTGTGCGGAAACCCTCACTTCGACGGGTCCGACGCCTCTGCCCGGCTCAATGGGGACTACATGATGGCGGCGCTGAAGCTGCTGGAGGAGGCCCTGGCCAAGTCCAAGGCGGTGAACGTCAGCAGCTTCATCGGGGAGTATTGCAAGCCGATGCTCATCGCGCAGCTTTGGGAGAAGGGGACCTTGGCCAAGTTCGGCAACAATGTGGGGAAGCTTCCCATCTTCGCCAGGGTGATGCGTCACTTGAAAACTGAAGGCCGCTCTTGTTCTGATAATAACATCTTATTAAAACTTCTCTTGGGAGGACAATGTGAAGGTCTCCATTGCGTAAGGGGGGGGCTTCTTTTTGGAGAAACCTATACACTTGCCTTTATCTCATTGGACCAGGTGGGAGGCAGGAGATCTTGGCATGCGCCAAGAGTGCCACGCCGCTGCATGGGAAGAATGGCGCGGAGGGAGTCAAGGAATGCTCGCAGCTTGTGGCGGAGCTGCAGAAGTTGAGGGACGCCGCAACAGCGGCAGCAACGACTGCATCAGGCAGGGGCTTGTAACGACTTTGGTAGGGCAGCATGTCCTTGATGCCTTGTGGGATATGTGCCAATAGATTAGACGAGAGAATGCAAGTCTCTTGGACTGCAGGGACCCCTGCCACGGCCGCGTCGCACACGCCCATGAGCGGTACCACTGGGGGGGAGGCAGACACGACTGCAGATGCTGACATGGGCATGCTGGTTATGGAGGACGCAGATGACGCTGCGAAGGACCCCATTGCACAGCGGGCCAGTCAGTTGGCCCTGGCCGAGCTGGGAGGCATTGACATTGTGCACAATGACTTCGACGCCTTCCTGGTGCAGCTGCAGGACATCTGTCCCATCATGTCGTGAGGGTTTTGGGCATGACGGGCGGGGGGTGTGCGCTATGCCATGCTTCTCTTCATCTGCAGGAGACCATTGGGACGAACGAGAAGTTGATCTTCGTGCTCGATGCGGTAACCAGCAAGGCGACAATCCTGCTGGCCGGCCTGAAGAGGCTGAAGCAGGCAGTGAATCAGCTGCCCGGGGGAGCATCCGAACGGTGGGTTGCTGTT